CTAATCACCTTTTATGTACAAAAATCAGACACAGCCTTCGTGGCATTCCAAAGCACCTTGAATGTCTCCCTAACTTGTCATAGCTGTAAGTGACTGTATTCTTACAGTCATTTGTTATATATCTAGTCTACTCACTAGAGTCTGATCTTGCTCCCCCATGTATGAGAGCTGTGTATTCATGGCCTCTAGCACAGATCTGGCTCTTAAAGTGTACAGTAATTGTGCAGTGAGTTAAATTACTTACCTTTATTCAAGCGTGTTCTCGTGTGTTTAAACATGGACTCTTACCATGTTCTACCTTAAACTAAGTATCCTGCCTAGGCATGTCCCTGACTTGCCCTTAAATGGTTGCTCTTAGCATACTGTCTGAAGGGCTGGCTACAGGCTCTGCCAGCTCCAGAATCATCTTGGCTGCTCTGTGGGCTCCTGTGCTCTCCTCACTGCTGGGCCCTTGCTTCTCCAGCAGCCCAGGCTTCATCCTGAGTTCAGTCCACTCCATGCTATATGATATCTAAAGGCTTTCTGTCGTATGTATGTGTAACCACATAAGCCTGCTGTCAATATTTTAGCCCATTTGCTCTTTCTCCACCTCCCCCTGTGTGTAGGGATTGGGGTGGGGTGAGCACTTGGGAGGACTATTTGTGAGCAAGCTGCAGCCATCAGAACACTTCACCTCTAACCATCTCTTTAGAGGTCATCTAAGGTCATTCTTTCCTGTTGTGACATGATTATCACACTTCGGAAATTCACCATTATCATAATATACACAGAGGCCATATTCACATCTCCCCAACTTTCCAGTAATAAAATTGACCGTTCTATTTTATTTTCTCCCTTTCCTCCCTGAGATTTCCTCTCTTTCCTGCCTACCCCATCCGGGTTCTGAATCTTGTTTGCCTTCTCTATATCTTCATTTCCACACTGAATTTGGAAAGGACAGAGATTCCAAGATTACAAATTACATCCAAGCCTGTTTTTTCCTCATCCTGAGCACACTCCTTCACTACTAAAGACGACTTTGGGTCTGTGTGGCCAAGTTCTCCCCACGATGATGCGTGTAGTTTGCAGGCCATAGGGGAAGAGAAGCAGGAAAAGTTCGTTCTTGCTTTCCTTTTCGCAGCTCAGTATAAGCAAGGAAGGAAGGCAAGCCCCCGGAGCACAGTCACGCCATCAGCTAGAAGAAGTTCTGAGTCATCAAGTCGCTGAACTGGCACATCTTATGCTAAGCAGGGCTTATAGGAGAGAAGAATGCACACTCCTATCATGTCTGAGCCTTTACGCAATTGGGAATATATTGTCTCCATCTGTAGATGTAACGGTCCTGTTAAATAAGAAACACAGAGCCAATGAAGAGATGAAAGCCCAAGAGGTCAGAGCGATAGCTAAGAGCTAAAAACCTTACCCTTCACTGCTGCTGCTGTCCTCCCTCCACCAAGAGAACTACTTCCTGTGTGTGTTTGTCTTCTTATAGACTTTTTATTCTGCCTTCTCATTGGTTGTAAACTCAACCACATGACCTCCTTGTCACTGCCCATCTATACAGACCTCCAGGTCTTCTACAGTTGGTATTGAGATTAAAGGTGTGTGTCACCATGCTGGTGATATCCTTGAACACACAGAGAGCTGCCTGTCATGTGATGAGGATTAAGGGCATGTGCTACCACGGCCAGACTACTGCTATGGCTTGCTATTAGCTCTGACCCCTAGGCAACTTTATTTATTAACATACAAATAAAATCACATTTCAGTACAAATGAAATATCACCATATCCATCACTTCTCTTGAAGCTGTGCCAGAGCACCTGAGAGAAGTGACCCCAGGGCGGAAGGGTTGACGAAGGAATACAGCCCATCATGAAGGGGAAGGTATGGTAGCGGGGACATGAGGTAGGCGGCCATGGCATATTTGCAGTCAGGAAACAGGGAGAGGGCAGGAAGTGCGACCAGGCTATAAACTCTCAAGACCCACCTTCACCAGCCCACTTCATCCAGCCATGTTCTAACTCTTAAAACATGCCCAGCTTTCCCCAAACAGCACCACCAGCTGGGAAATTAAGACCCAAACACACGAGCCTACAGGAGATGTTTCCCCTTCAAACCATAGCAAGTCGTTGTCGCGCCTAACCGTCATATGATGAGGTCCACGGTGCCTCTGTAGAGAAGGGCTTGCTGTCATAACCTTTTCCTGCAGGAGAGAGTGAGTGCAGCCGAATCCATGTGCCCCCCTGGCTGGGAACCATTGGTCCTGGAGAAGGTGCGTGAGCAGACAGAGGCACTCGCTCATAGAGATCTATTGTCTTACATGTAGGAGTGCGCTTGTGTGTAACTGTGCCTTTGTGCAAAGAGTCCGCTGAAACCTCATGTAGCGTCTGAGAAACCATGGGCATAGGGGCTTTCTACAAATACAGAGCTAACAAAATAAAAAGAGAAAACCCATAGAAAAAACCCATTTGATTAGGCAATCTAAAGTCACATGAATAAATAATTACAGGCATTGTGTGAACGTCTCATTCTGTCTAATTACCATGTGGTGCAATAATAAGATTTGTCATGAAACATGTCAGATTCATTTTTGCTGTTCATTTATTTGAACAAAACTTCCACCGTGGTTCTTGAATGCAAAGCCCGCATTGTCTGCTGTTCACACTGATGCTCGGGACTGAAAATATTAGAGGGAAATCTGCTCACCCACCCTCTTGTCATGAAAAGATTTATGACCATGAAAAATTTGAAAGCATTGCATTTGTATCTAAATTTCCCGATTCTTTACAATTTAATCCATAATTGTGTGTACCCAATCACAGGGAGGTGGGAAGTCAGAAATGTTGCAGAGGCAGCAATTGGGGAGTTTTTCATGCATCCTGTGGAAGCCTGATGGCCTCATGCTGTGCTCCTGGTTAAATCAGGACAGGTTTGGCACTCAGAATGTAGCTTGGCTCCTGAGCCCTGGACATCTTGGTCTGTTGTAATTTTATATGTTGCTTACAATAATGTTTGTTGTATGAATTTTATATTGATACACCAATGATGTGAAAGTGCTTGAAGAGCTGGTCTATATGAGAAGAGATGGAAAAGCACAGACTCCAACACCACACTAACAGAATAACACCACAGGACACTTCCCAGGCATGTACCATATGCCCAGTTTGTGCTGTTTGACACTCCAATGGATATTGACAGCCAGTCTTCCTGCGAGGAAGCAAGACAGGCTTATGACTTCCCAGCCTAAAGTTCGAGAGGATCTGGAACTTTCCTGAGGCTGTAATAGAAGGGTGGCTAAACCTGACCGTTAGATGAGGTCATCGTCTTCATTTGCCTGATTCATCTTTGCTCCATCATTTCTCCTGTTATTCTGTCTCTGTGATAATATGCTGAAGTCAGACCAATCCTTGTTTAGTTAGGCAATACTACCAAGCAGGAGAATTGATTTTCTCCGATCCTCCGTCCCTCTGTTGATTTGGGATTCGGTGGGTATACTCTCATTGTCACTCAGCCGCTGCGTGATTTTTCAAAAATATACATCACTTATATATAATTTTGATGAGGACCACCTGGGTCCCAATGAGCAATGATCTAGTTAGCTGGAGAAGGCTAAAGAATCCATAAGAATGGATGATACAGTGAGGCAAGTGCTCTGATGGGAAACATACGAGATTTTGTGGGGAGCTCTAACCCGACTCTAAAGGAAATTATCCAAGGCTTCCTGGAGGAGGAGGTATCTGTGCTGAGGCCTGTGGCAAAGGAGGCAAATAAACCAGGAGAAGGAGGGAAGGAAAAGCGGGTAACAAAAGCAGTGCAGTGGAGACGGTGAGGAGACCACCATATTCAGCCTGTAACAGGCTGCCTTGTAGTGATTCTTTCCAGAGGTTTCTGCCTACTGTAGTACTTGATTTTCTCTGTATTGATACATCAGGAAATATTTCTGTTAATAAATCTGTAAGATTCATTATTTAGAGTCTGGAGAGATGGCTCAGCCATTAAGAGCCTTGCTGCTCTTCCAGGGAGTACAAGTTCAGGTCTCAACACCCGTGTTGGGAGGCTCATGACCACTTGTAACTACAATTCTAGGTGATCTGAGGACCTCTCCTGCCACCTACATGCACACACACACACACACACACACACACACACACACACACACACACAAAGGCAAAAATAAGTCCTAAGAAGACCCACTAGGTAGTTATTATACAGAAAGCATTCAGTAAGCCTTGAGAATTCAAATAGAGACTTTGCTTTTTTGTGTGTTTCTGTATGTGTAACAAGACATATGCACATATGTTTGGATACATGCTCCTGTACATGTCCACTCAAGGTCAAAGGTAAATGTCTTTTTAGTTAGATGTCATTCACTCTAACTCTCCATCCTTCTCATTCAGGACAGGGTCTCTCACAGAAACTGGAGCTCACTGTCACAGACCTCTTATCATTGGCATCCTTTTATCTTTGCCTCTAAACACTGGGATTGGCAGCTGACATCGCCAAGACTAGCTCTGTACATGAGACCCGGAGATGCAAACTCAGATCCTCAAGCTTGCACAGCAAGGATTTCACCCACTGAGTCCTCTCCCCAGGCCTAGATAGCCTGCTTCCACCTTCAGAGAGTTGGAATGTGCTCAGAGGAAGGAGAGAAGGAGGGAAATCTAATAGTGCTGACAGCTTTTAAGCAGAGGAAAAAACATTCCTGATGTGATCCCCAGGCTTTGGACTCCGCCCCCGGCTTCCCCGATCTCACGATGCCACCTAACACAAATTACTCGACCTTTCCGAAGCTCTGCTCCCCACCTATGAAAACTGGAGTAATAAAAGATCCTTGTCGAGACTGCGGCACGGATTAGCGTGGTAATGCATGTGCGGCATTTAGCATCCTGCTCTGCTCGGCACAAGCAGGAACACAATAAATGGGTTAGCTATTATATTATTGTAATGAATTCAGAGCATAAATACTCACATGCCTGTCCTGGGCTGCCTTTTGGGCGCCCTGCCGGCGGTTGCTGCGGCCCCCGACTGCCCATCCCCCCACTGGAGGCTCTCTTAAGTCAGTGCCTTCCTGGAAAATGGTGTTAAACCACTGTGTTCTGGGGAAGCTGGTTTGGTCTGGGTCATATGCAGGCTTCAGAGTCTCCTGGGCGCCTAACTCTCCGTGGACTGTTCATTTCACCACAGTGGCGGATCTGTCTGTCCTGGATGCCTGCAGCCTTTGGTTATCACTTACATGGGAGGTGATTCTGTACCCCGAATGATTTTTTTTTTCTATTTTATGATATCCTTCTATCTGCTATTCATTCTACTAGTAGCTAATGTTTTTGAAGTCCATATGCAACCTGGGTTTAGCAATGTTCTTCTGTTTAAAAGGTCAGAGGGGACTTTTAAGCATGGGTAATTCATCTCACCCCAAACCATTCTGTAGTACATGCTCAAAAAGAATCAGTAATCAAAGTCATATTTGTACAAAAAGAAAGAAAGAAGAAAAATAAGCTAAGATTGAGTCTGTTTGCCCATTGAAGAGCAAGTCAAAGACTGTAAAGACAGCTAGTGGGTAAAGCACATGCTGTATAAGCCTCAGGGCCTGGGTTCAGATCCCTAGTACCCATATAAGAGCTGGGTCGCTGCAGGTATCTGTAACCCCAGAGCTGGAGGAATGCAGACAGTCGGATCCTAGGGACTTGCTGGTCACCTAGTCTAGCCAAATGGTGAGCTCCAGTCCAGTAACAGACTTTTGCCTCAAAAATAAGGTGAAGAGTGGTGGAAGATATTTGATGTCAACCTCTGGTCTCCACCCTCATATGGCACACACACACACACACACACACACACACACACACACACACAGACAGATTTGTTATGTGATCATTTGAAACGTTACCAACTACTTTCATTCACTATTCATTTACTGGTGGTAGATACTCGGGGAGTCTGTTGTTCTCTACCCAGCTCCTGCAGAAACACTGACACCATTCCAAGAAGCTGGAAAGTGACAACAGAGAAGTCTGACAGTGTTGATGGGAAACAGTAGGTTTGGGCTTGTTCACAGGTTACCTTCAAGGCCACCCATGGAAGAGCAAGCAAGTGAAAGTTGCTCAGCTGGCAACTGAGATGAAGAGAAGAGACAGGCAGACATAGGTACAGGCGCCTTCCCAGAGGAGACAGCCAGGCCTCCATGTCCCAATGAAAGGGCAAATGGGTAGGTAACACAGCTCTAAATGTGAAAGGGTGACACAGTTCCAAACTGTGTAGCCTCTGAGCCAAATGGAGAAAACCGAGGTCCAGAGGTTTGGGGCTACAGTCTCAGCTGCTTACCTTTGAAGTGTCGTATAGATTTTCCATCCTGCCCTGCAGTATACAAATAAGATTTGAAATTATCTTCCAGTAGAAACTGACTCAGCAGCATGACAGGAGACATTTAGCTTGTGGCTTCACAAGGACAAGTTGCCCTAAGCATGCATGCTAGGAAATGAGGCTCCTGGTTCATCCTGAGGAGGGGGACCTGCAACAAGAGGCAGGCAGGAAGTCAATTACCAACTCTGCTAGCTGGCTAACCGGGGAAGCCCCGGTCTGGGAGGGACCTGCATATGACAATTTGGCTGAGAATGATCCTATCAAGACAGTTCAATGGCCAAGAGAATATGAGGTGCAGGGATTATCAGGGTGACAGGGCTGTATGGGATAAATTGAAAAGCATTGGAAGGGATCAGAAAGCGCTGGTGAAGTAGAGTCTGGTAGAGTCCAGGAACCATAGATTACAGGGAAAAGGCGAAGAATGCCTCAGGCTGGGCAACCAGAAAACTCTTTGCTTTGGAACTCTGAAAAGCAAGGAGCATGGAAAGTTCTAGTCAGGATTACTGACGTGCCGAGATTTCTCTCCTGAGTGGAAACAGATTGTCAGAACTTAGACGCTGCTGCATCTTTTACTGACAGATTGGGTGCAATTGTTTCCCTGATGGGGGTTGGGGACATGCTTCAAAAGCAGACGAGGAGAGGGAAGAAGAGAGAAGGAAGGGACAGCCAGCTGTCAGCTTCTTTGGTGTGACTGTGGGACAGCTCCTGCAGATGTGCCCACGGCACCAAAAGCCAATTCCCCAAGCTTGGGGGCTCTTCAGCAAATCCAAGAGCCATCAAGTCGTACAAGAGCATCCCAACAGTCTGTGGGACATGGAGCCTAGCCACAGGGTGGGCTCAGCTCTCATGTGACATAAGCACTCTCCTTGCACCAAATTAAACCAATTTGATGAAAATTTGTAATGCAGAGGAGCGTAATTAAATTGAAGATTTTAATTAGGCATGGTTTTGATGAAACTTAACAGGAGCAGGCAGGAACAGTCTTGCTGTCTATTAAACCTAATCCTGTGCAGTGAAGAGCTCGCTAGTTGATGTTCCTTAATGGTTACCCAGATCTCAGTTTCTTCCACACAATGAGCTTGGAGGAGGGATACAGGGAGAGACAGGGAGGAGGAGGTGAGGGAGAGAGAAGTGAAGTGAGACTTTCATGGGTCAGGTAGGGGTGGGTCCATCAAAGGAATATTGGTGCTAAGCTTCTGGGGTGAGTTATTTCTTTATTTGACAAAGTGGAGAAACAGCGAAGATCATGTTCAGGGATGCTTTGCTGTAATGGATGGGGAAGGCAAGGCTCCCTGCAGGCGGAGGGGCGCCTCCAAAGGCTCCCTCTGCTAATTACTTAGAGTCTCTCTACTTCACTTCACAGACTTTGAATCTTCCCCTGGTCTCTTAATAAAGAAGAAGAAAGAAGGCTTCTGGGAGCAGCTATTTGGGAAGACTCTTCCCTCAGGACTGGATTTTCAGAAGGCTCCAGGAAGGCCAGCTTCCCCAGTACAGCTGCCAGCGTAAAAGGGAGATGCAGAATACGGTCTCGCAGCAATCATGAGAGAATGGGCAAAGCAATGGATGAGTAAGTGAGCACTCTAGAACTCTCCAGACAGACACACAGAGTTAAAACTTACCAACCAGGCATGCTGCTTCTTAACAGGTGTCTTGTCTGAAAGAGACACCTCATGTCTTTCCTTTCTCTCTCCTTTTCTTCCTTTTCCCAACTAATGTTTCCTAAGGCTTCACCGTGCAAGCGCATCATCAGGAGCTATACAGTTTGACAAATGCTTAAGAGTTCAAGTTTCCTCCTGCCCTGAAAGGCTATTGTGGTAAAGGTGGACTGAGGAAAAATTGTCCATATGGATGGTAGCAGCTTGGGTCAAGTTGGTGTTAGTACAGGTGAAGAACTGTGGGTATATTTTGAATGCTTCTGGGCAGAAAAACTGACAGCTTTTGGAAATGTTAGTGGAAGTGGTTGCTAGCAGAGAAGAATCAGGAGTGATCACTCCAAATTTTTTGGTCAGAGTGACAGGGTAAATGGAGGTCCCATTTGCTGGGTTTAGGATAGAATTGAGAGGACAGAAGGTTGTGTGGGTGGTTTAAGAGTTTAATGCAGGATTGGGGGTATGTCTCAGTCAGAGGAAGAGAGCTTGCCTAGCATGCACAATGTCCAAGTGTAATCCTTAGCACTATATGAGCCAGGTGAACACATCTTCAATCCCAGCATTTAGGGGTTCAAAGCAAGGGGATTCAAAATTCAAGATCAGACTTGGCTATATGGTGAGTTTAAGATCAATACAAAAGAAGAAGGAAGGAAGGAAGGAAGGAAGGAAGGAAGGAAGGAAGGAAGGAAGGAAGGAAGGAAGGAAGGAAGGAAGGAATATTCAGTACTGAGACCCATTCTTGAATGAAAGAATAAATAAATTTTCAGTGCTTTTTGTCTTCCTTAAAATTGAGATGCAGAGGAGCCTCCAAGTAGAGCTGACAGGGAGACAGTAGAATGGATGACCTGAAGCACAGACAAGAGGCTCAGGCTAAAGCTAAAAACCTATGAGTCATGGGCATATAGATGGCATTTAAGCAAAGGGATGGCATGAGCTCCCCTAGGGTGGGAGGTAAAGGGAGAGGAAATAAGAGGTGCAGCTGATGATTTCCTGCAGGTTGCTCAGCCCTGGTTTGACCTGTTACTCAGAGCTATTTATCAAAGCATTAGGCAAAGGGTAAAATACTGAAGAGACTTAATTAAGGAATATGCTTAAGAAATGCAGCAAGTTATTCTTAGATACGTGCATTTATTTAGAGATGACTCCCCAGAGGTGATATCACATAGGTAGGTGGTCATGTTTCCTTTCCTATAACGAAAATACAAGTGGCAAGTGCATTGGTTGGATGGTCTGGAAGGGAGATTGCTCTCTTGGGCATTTAGATGACTGATGTCATCCTTTTTCAAGTTGACCAGTAATTGAGTTGTTTAAAGTGGCAGTTCCTGCTCACAGCTCTTCAGCAGAGTCATCTGACCAGCTGGTTCAAACTAAGAACTTCCTGGATCAATCTGAATTAGCCAGGGTTCTCTAGAAGACCAGACCCATAGAATAGCTACATACTACAACAGGGGATTTCTTAGGTCACCTTATACAACACAGGCTGGGTAGTCTAGCAATAACCGTCTGCACTCTGGAGTTTCTGAGAGCCATATAGCTGTTCAGTTCACCAGACTGGAAGCCTCAGCAGCCCTGAGCTGCCACTGAAGGCCTGGCGGTCTTCCATCCACATTTTCAGGCCAAAGAAGCCAGGTTCTAGTGGCAAAGGAAGATGGCCACAGCAGTGGTAACAGTAACAGAAGCAGACTGGCTCACTAGAAAGAAACTAAGGCAGGCAAGAGAGCATCACTGGCCCACCCCACTCCAGGGGGGGGCCTTCTCCCTTCAGCTCATCCTTCCTGGAAATGTCCTGCAGACCTGCTCAGAGGTGCACTGTAGTTGATTCTAGATCCAATCAAGTTGACAATCAAAGATCACACTCTACCTAGACACATTGACAGAGTCTGTGTTAAGATCTTAGGAGTTTTGTTTTTAACAAAGACCCTGGAAGATTCCGATCTGGGAACCCATGGCTTGTCATTTGGTAGTTTTCCTGGCTATTTCAAATGCAAACTTGTGATCTGTGATACCCACATAACACCATATCTTCTAAACTGACAAGGGTCTGGATTTGTAAGACTGGGGTGAGGTATAAGCTTTACGTTTGTTGTTATAGCTAGAGTGGCATGTCCCTGTTGGCATGTGTGATAAGACTTCATCCTCATCTGGCTGCTTTTGGAAGGTGCTGACATGTTAAAGATCTGGTCTAGTGAGATGCTTTAAGTTACTGGAGTATGTCCTGGAAGGGTATTATGGGATGCATGCATCTTGTTCTGATTTTTTGCTTCCTGGCCACTATGAGGTAAGCCTCAGGTAACTAGCTTATTTTCCCACAAGCTCTCCACCGCAAGCACTGCCCCAGATCAACAGTGTCAATTAGTCATGGACTGAAACCTTCCAAACCGTGAGCCAAAATAGACCTTTCCTCTTCATAATGTGGCTACCTCAGGTGTTTGCTACAGTAGTGTGGAGCTGACCGGCTCACACATGCAATGTCACTACTGGTGTGCCACATGCTTGCTTCCTTCGTTTTTTTTTTTTAATTTCTCTTTCTCATCCCTCACCAGGACTTGAGATATAAATTATGGACATCCTGGCATACACATGCACATGCATACACAGGGTTAGCATGTGTACACAGTGTCTCCCTCCCTGTCTCTCCCACATTCCCCTTTTACATTGGCCTATTCCTCCTCTTCTCTATCTTCCTCAATACCACCTCAGTCATGCACTCATCACCTTTCACTCAGGCCACTAACAGAGTTTCCTGTTTCCTGTGACAGCCTAGTCAGTCTCACATCTACCTCATCTTCCAAATGTCTGCTCAAGTTAATGTTCATGAAGTAAATCTGATTTCCTCAGGCTTCTATTCTACAAAACAATAAAACTCAGTTGCCTGTCTACAAATTCGCCAGTTCCTTTGCACAGTGTTTAGTGGCTGCTGCAAAGTGACAGCAATCTTCTCCCCATCCTGAATGAGGGACACCAGCCCCACTCATACCTGCCCATCTGCAGTCACCCCTGACACCCCTCTTTCCACACTTATCACCTCTGCTTACTGACCTACCTACTCATGCTCGCTCACTTAATCTGAAGCTCATCTGTCCCTTAACTACAGACCAATTCTGACCCTTTATCTCCGAACCATTTCAGATGTTCCCTGTGCTCGAAGGTCTTCCCCAGCATCAAAGACATGGCTCGGTGTTCCTCCTTTCCTCTCAGTGTAGCAATTTGCACGGATCCTTACTGGAACATTTACCATGTTGTATTATCATGTGCTTCTTTCTCACACATCCTCAATCCCTAAGACAAACTAGGAAGTCATCCCTCTTTCTATGCACATGTCTAGTTCAATGTCAGACTCATGGGAGATCTTTGGTAAATATGTTGGGGTAGGGGTTTCTGTTTTTTTCTCTTTTGCTCTCAAATCCCAGCAGCTGTGTT